TTAACAGGCTAGTCCACTCACTAATCCACTCAATATTGCACCTAATATTATTGGTAAGAAAGCCCCTCCTTTTTGTATAATTATATTTTTTCCTTGTTTATGTTTACACTTACGCACTAGTTTACGGAGTATATTTTTGTGTTTATTCAATTTTTGTTTATCTTGATCTTTAAGAGGCAATTTTCCTTGTAAAACGTAATGAATACACTCACAAATACAGTTAATTTCTTCTTCATCACACGTTTTAAGTAATGCTCTTTGATATTTTGGTTTAAGCGTATGCAAAGCGTTTAGCAAATGTTTATGCGTTGTGAGTCCACGATGCATCATTTAGCAATGATTTGAATTGTTTGATTCTTGGTGTATTTAAACTCTTTTGTGGGGACGTAGACCGTGCAGAAACCATTAAATGGGAAGACATTGTGAAACATTGGTATTCTGTTTTAAATCTACCATTAAATATCCATGTGCCTCTAGAGTTGCATCCCTGTAGGCATCTTCAATGAATTTTGGGTTAACTGGTGACACTTGTCGTGCTAAATATCCTATTTGAGTTTTATCTCGACGGTTTTTAAAATATATTATACAACATGAGTTTAAAGGTATGTCTCTTTGCTCTTTACCCTGATGAAATAAATTTTGTGTTAAATAAAATACACTGAGATTCCTGTGATGACTGACTACCTTTTGTAAATATATCCAAAATTCTTCCATCGGACTCTCTCATTAGATCATCAATAATAACGAGATGTGGGTTTTCACCATCAAACATATTAAGATTTTGAATTCCTTGATGATAGTTAATATTTGGTAAATTATATAAAGGTTGTATTTCATCAAAGCACCATGTGATCTGATTAAAATCACAATTGCATATATTTGTAACTGATTTTATGAAATTTGTTACAAAATTTGACTTCCCACATCCACTTGGACCTGCCACAATAGCAGTAAACGGATGTATAAAATGAAACATTACACACGTCTAAAGTTCTAAGGGGTGTTCTAAGTCTCAATTTAATATGGGGATGATGTTCTCTTGTTTGTAGGCACATTTTAATTCTTCGTTCACATCAAAATATGGAATGCCGTGCACGTGTGTTTCACAATAACGAACAGTTTTTTTTTGTCTTTTGGCGACAAATAATTGAAAGGATAACTTGGTCGAAACAAATAATGATCGATAAACGCATCATTTTTATTAGATAGTTTTACGTCTAGAATAGCCATTTCTCTACATTGAAAATGTTTATGAGGATATGTAATGTAAAATCCGTCCATGTCGATGATGTATCTAATATTTTTTGATTTTGTGTCATTTTGAACCAAAATGTTAAAAGTATTTACACGTGACTAAAAATATGTTTGTTCCAACAAACTTCACATAACAATGCTTCATTACTTCCCGTCATCCCATTTCTTTCTTCTGCTCTTGTCTTCCTGTAATTTAAGTAAACAGAATCACATTCACTAATGATCAACTAATGACTGTCATTGTTAAAAAAGTATTTTTTTTAACTACTCTAGTATTCGTAGATGCGGTACACACACAATATTTAAATATAATTCGTTAACACTAAATCATACACACGTAAGAAAATAACAGAAAGAAAAGTAAGTTTGTCAATAGAATAAACACTTAAAATTGCAATTAAAAAATTAATTGGTACCGTCGGGGATCGAACCCGGGTTGCGTACTGTAAAATTTACAGCTTGCGCTAACTATCTGAGCTAGCACGGCTTAATCATATACACACACAATATTTAAATATAATTTGTTAACACTAAATCATAAGCACGTAAGAAAATAACAGAAAGAAAAGTAATTTTGTCAATAGAATAAACACTTACATCCATGGCCTTTGATGCGTTGAAGTAACACAAATGTAGTATTGATAGATCTACTGCAGTCAAACGACCATATACTAACTCCATGACTGCAGTTGATTGGTCTTATACAGTACCAGTAAGTAATAATTCTAATCTAAAGAATTTCTGCAGTGGAATTGATAGTAACTTTATGCGTCATCAAGCTTATCTCACATTCTGTTGCTTATCTCAGCATTACTTCGTGTTGCGACTTGTTCAGTGTATTGATGACTCAAATACGTTTTGTATAACACAAAATAATGCTGTAATAATCTACTAATAGCAGTAACATCATATCAATAGATAAGAGTTAATTGATCTGCACATCTCCGGAACCGTCCATCCTACGCAAAAACGGAGAAAGAACCGCAGATTCGTGATCAGAGCATGCCAAAACCTTTTTTTTTTTTGGGATCGTGAGTCTCGACGAACGTTGTACCACTTCTGACTCAGTGAGCCAGAACTGGTACTACCTATCTACTATAATGAGTAGATTATAATGACTAGACCAGGACTAAGTCTCCAATTTAATCTACCCCTTTTTTCGTAACTCGGATAATCGTATAATATTCCAGTGCAACTTGTCTATTTCTTCCTTCAGCTCCAGGATCTTCTCGTCATTCCTCAGGGTGCGTGCATTGTATGGTGCCAGGTCGCGTCGTCTTAGGTGGCAACCGAACCTCCACCGGAGACTCTTAGCACCCCCTGGCCCGCCATTTCATAGTCGCCACCGTGGCCTGGAATAGCGGGGCCGCAGGGGACTGGGAGCCGTTTATGTGTCGTTACTCATGGGGGGTATATTGCCACACTTGACACGCTTGGCGAGCGGGTTAGCAACCGCGGGTTTTTTTTGTTGTATATTTGCTATTGTCAGGAAGATGCTGCTGCTCATCTGCCGCCTTCTGTCGCCTTTTACGACACCCACGGGAAGATATGGTGTAGTGGATATTCTTAACCGCCACTACACTAAAATTAGTATTGGTATAAATTAAGTTATATCATTACTAAATAGGTCCATTTCTTTAATAAAAAGGTCCGAAAGATAATATTTTTTGGTTATAAATGATTTACAAAATGGTGTCGGTCTATAGCAGCCCGATGAGCCTTTAAAAAGGCTAATTAATGCCGCCAGCAATATAAATACTCACACGTGAAGAATTATTAAGAGGCCAGAGTATACTTGATGAACCACTGCAGTGCTATTGTCTATATAGTAGTTCACCGGTATACTAGCAGAGTTAATGTAGCCTGAAATAGTGCTACGCTAAAAAATTATATCGTCAACAAAACGTGTGTATAATATGTTGCTTTTCGCCACAATATGGCCGACAAATGGTTTTAAGAATACAGTAAAATGAATGTGTATACAGCTTTACGCCTTATGATAACACACGTGTATTTGATTAAAGAGCTGTTAGCTGTACGACAGAACTCAGTTGATCTTTAAAAAATGCAAGCATTACATTTATTACGTTTATTCTTTTCAGCAGTACTGACTTTTACTTACCACTTTAAAATGCTATTACACAACAAAGGTCACTAAAACAAAAAAAAACTATTAAGCAGCATTATGCATTATGTTACTACTTAATAATGTTATTGAAGACCCTAAAGCACTAAAAACTTGGCATTATGGTGGTTCATGTTTATGCTATTAAACAGTATTAAGCATTTATTTACTACTTATAATGAGTTTGTAGACCAATTACACTAAAAACAGCTGAAAGCTGTATAGTCCCATTATGGTTTGCTACACAAAAACTAAAGCTTTACAAAAGCATTTTGATATGCCACTACCCAACCGTTATACGCTGTAAATCATCATAATGGCTTTGAAATGCCAATATAAAGCGTCAGGGTGCTTGGTAAACTTATACAAGGGTTTGTATGGACCTTAAGTTCTACATAAGTTTATAATTCGTTTGTTAAATTGCTTCCTATGTTACTTGGGATGTAATATGCGGGTATACTGGCTCATCCCCATACTCTTCTTATCGGAACATAGCAGTGGTCGTACAGCATCTGACTGGCGGCAGAAATAGGAGAGGTAAAAAAGAAATACTTTCTAGTATTACAAGTTACTATAATTTTAACGATAAAAGAGAATCTACCCAAGAAACCTAATATTCCAAAATTCAAAACAACAAATGTAATACGTTCGAAGTTTGTGAAATTACTTCAACTTATACATAATATATCATATATGAATTCAGTCATTCGTTGGTTTGAAACCTAAATTTAAATGAGACATGAGATGTATATAATAATAATTCAGTCAGTGCTTGAAAACGATCTATATAAATATTATAGATATTACTTTTATTAAGGAATCCCTTTATGGCAACTAGCACCGTGAAACTTGTAAGAAGTTAAATAATTCATATCAAATTTAATATGTTCGATTTTAATTGACCGATCTTACGGCACCTAAGGGGAGCAATGGCGTTGATCTATACTTCTACGCTAACATTACATGTCGGATACGTTTGTTAAATTAATATGACATGCGAAATCCTCCACATATGAGGAAACTGACTTCTGTTGCTGCCTTTAAGGGAATGGTGTCTGACCTTTCTTCTTCCAGTGGCGAACTTTATTAAATGTTTCTGCTAATGTTTGTGTTAATAGTATAAATTATTTAAGTTGATTTTGTACAATATTTTCTTAAGTAAATATGCTTAAAATGTGTGTTATTTAAAAATTGCGTGTACCAAGTATAGAGCACATTATTTAGGTTATTTGTGTTAATATATATTTATAAGTGTAATTATACGTATGGTATGTACGTTTTTATATTTATATTAACGTGTACATATCTTCATGTCTTTAAGGCACGTGCTTAAATTTCTGCAAAAATGATTTAAATATATTAATTAACTAGCTTGCCAGGCAGACGTTGTTCTGCCCTTTTCAACGACCCTTTATAATGGCCTATTAAAAATCCTATAATTCGCAAACAAAATTGTGGTCCACTCATGGCCAAAAAAACTATCGTATCTCTCAAGTTACACCAAATTGCACACGGTGTGCAAATTTGATTAAAATCGGTTAAGTAGTTTAGAGTCCATCGCGAACAAACAACGTGACACGTAATTTATATATATTAAGATAAATATGTCAAAACAACTGACCTGCCATTTTGTGGATGAGGTGAAGCCGCCCTCTCGCCTTGAACGAGAAACAGCGATCCTCTATCCGCATCCAGCAGTATGGAGACGTTCTGCAATATCTTGTGACATAGTACGCGGACTTCGAGCTCATTGCAGATATCTTTCACCTACAACAAAATAAAAAGTGCATAAATATTTTAAAATATATTATTAAAAGTGTTCCACCTACACTAGGATTTTCTCTTGTAATGTGAAAATATTTTAGATACATAAATTCCAAATTGAAAAACATCCAGACCCGCTACAATTATTGATAGGTAGGCTATACAAACAGTTAATTCCCGTGTGGGAATCAAGCCCGTGGACCCGAAACGTCGCCGTCAAACGCTTGTCCACTGCACTACCGAGCCAGAAATCCGATTTCAGAAATTGTTCAGTTTAAAAAAATCATAATATTGAGTTTTTGGGTGGAACTTAACTGAAAATTGGCCGCTGCTTCAGAATGTTTTTAACATCGTTTTCATGTAATACCTACCTACTTACATAAGGGTGCGTACGTGACTACTTGGAAAACGTAAGTAACTGCTTTTGTAATAGTAAAAATAAAACACGTGAGCGTGACAGAGTAATTTTTTATGGGTTTCCTCAGTCAATCATTATAGTTAATCAACATTTCAAACGTTAAATATTCATTAATGAAAAGTCTATGTCTATAGTTTCGTATAAAATATTTCACAAATATCTCAAACGTAAATCCAAAATTTCGCCAATTATCCCTTTAGCTTTCTATTTGTACAGTAAACGATTATTATGTTATTAAATAAAAATGATTTATAACCCTTACAAAAAGTAGGTTATCAACTCGACTGTATTTTTTATGTGTGTCACACAATTTTTCCGAAGTAAGTAAACCGATTTTGGTGTTACAAAATATCGATACTAGAAATTGCGTGTTTATATTGCGTACCAATAACCCGACCGACTGGGTTGTATTACTACATTAATTTGTATATTGACGTGAATACTATACGAGGTTTATAATACAGCAAACAATGAAATGATTATTTAATGTCCTATTATCACATTTTTCCTGAAACATGTGACTAGCACTAAGCCCTATTTGATACAATCTTATTCGTAACTTGCTCGCGTCTGTGACGTGCCAGCGCGTATAAAGATGCCGATGGCTGTGTCAAGATATCACCGACAGTAATAAGCCTACTTTCCAGTACCATTAGTGTGATCCAATTTGTTGTCCATGTTCGCAACACATTACATTTATATGCTGCTTAAAAGTACATTCAAAACAAACACACAAAATACGTAAATACTACGTATATACGTATTTTGTATGTATTTAAAACGTAAGTATATAATATAAAGATTGTGCATTAACACAAAATCATTTTTAAATATAATTTAGAAATAGTATTCAAAAAGTTGTTTTCAACGCAACGGTAACAATTGTCTCGGGTCATATTAAGTCGGGCCGTATTAATGGATGTTCCTCAGGGCTTAATATTTTTTTTTTCTTTTTAGAAGTTTTAAATTAAAATTCATTATGTTTGTATGTGTCATCATGTTTTATATTCTATTGCTTCTATTCTACTTATTTTTGTCACATTCCTGTTCTTAATTAATATTTATGACTTACCCTTTCGGAAAATAACCACGATATATTATCATTTGCTGATGAAGATATGCTTCGTTGATTATTAACTAAAAATTTGTTAAAATATGACGAAGTAAATGCTATGTATATATGGTACACACAATCTATTCAAATTGAATTGTATTGCATTGTTAATTAAAAAAATGTTACTGACATTTCCTGCTTTTATTTTTGTGTTTCCCAGGCAGGCAGGAAACAAGCGGTAAAAGCATTTTATACGTAATCTTTATAGAATAAAATTTATTATATTCTAATCTGGTAAATACGGGATTGTTATACCGCAATCTATCTAAACCCATGGGATATGTATAATATTTCCCATGGACGCCTCTCACGACTTTCACGCTTTCACACATGGGATCCTCAAAGCATGGGATGATGGATTTTCTTATACCGCCACAACACGTCACAAATATGATCACTAAGTTAAAGAGAAAATATTTTAAAGTTTTTGACTTACGGATATAGTTTAATTATTGTAGACACTCAGTTTTTGAAAAGTAATAAGACTATATAACAGTTGATTCAAAAGTTAATCTCTATTGTCTACACAACATGTCCCATAAGCGGCGTGACTTATCTTAAATCCAATAGTTTAACAAAGCAGAGGTCACTGAAATAACTACCTAAATTTGTGTAACGTTGGCAGGCTACAACATCAAACCAATATGTAGATAGGTTTAGCGCCGAACTATCGGTGAACATTCCCTCCCTCGTTAGGTCTGTAACTTGCTTACAAGAGCGATTTCCAAACTAATTTCCGTCACAAGGTTTATCTAACTGAACCTGCCTGTCGCTAATGCTACAGGTAAATATTATTAACCGCGATCGATCTTATGATCGGACCGCGATCGATCTTGTGATCGAAATGTGAATATATTTTGCACAAACATAAAAAAAATCTAGTTATGACAGCAAATGTGCTAAAGTTTATTGTTATCGTATTAGTTGTCCGCCAACTGCTCCAGCAGTGCGTGATGGCAGACTTCACATGTCCTCTAATTATATTTTTTAAATTTGTCAGACAAGCGAGACAAGTGAGATGTTCCTGATCCTGGGCCAGGTCCTTGTACACTATACTTAAAATTAAGGAAACACATTTTAAACGATTCTCAACAGTCCAATTATTTTATAATGGGTTTGTTTGCTGGTAAAGCATAGAAAATTACACTTGAGATTGCAACACCACAACGAAAACCCGTCATGGCGGTAAGCTGTCATTTTTATTGATTAGTGAAGTTTGACATGTTTATTTCACGTACTTTTGACACTCTTGTGACAATTGACAGTTCTCTTGATATGATCAATGGTCGCTTTATGGTTTACTAACCTTGCCTATAAGCACAGAGTAACTAAATCAGTAAGACGCCATGTTGAAATTAGATAAAAATAGTTGATAAACATCAATTATTTACCACTACAGGATACATTTAAATGAATTATCTGTATTTTTTCTAAATTCTACAAATTTTTCTCTTTTTTTTAAATAGTGTACATAGACCTGGCCCATTTTGAAACTCTGCTTTCCTCAGGATCTTTTTGTGACACCAAGCACGTGGCAAATTGACATTTAAAATGACAATTAAATTTTCATTTAGTTACTTCGCTTGTTAACAGCCGGCTTTGTCGCCAGCTAACAAGGCTGGTCGCGGTATTATGGGAGTATCAAATTAAAAGCAATACTTACACCGAAAAGGTCCCACGTCTTTTATGGATATCAAAATATGAATTATAAATTTTTATTTTAGAAGACATATCAAATTAATTTAGATTTTACTGCCAAGGCCATTTATTTCTCGGGAAAATGATATTCGGCAGTGTCATTAAAAAGAAATATTTCTCAGTGAGGCATCCGATCTGATCCTTTATGTCGGCGTCACTATCACGACACTGCCGAACATTTGTTTAATCCGCCGTCGCCATTTTTCCACGTCCACGGCACTGCTTATACAAGAAATGATTAATCATCGACGATTTGGGTCGAACGTGACCGCTTCCTTAATTCAAGGAGCCCTGGACGAAATAATGATCAAAGGAAGCTTATCTTGGATCTATGATTCAAGGTCTTTAAAGAAAAATTGTGTATAATCTTTGTACAATACAGTCTACTATTTATTTTCAATAACCGCACATCAGGTCTTTTAAACCAACAACACGGTAAATATAGAATGAAGGAAGAATATAAAAAGGTTTATATTTTATTTTACAATAGCTTCGTTGGTATGTTTTCCTTTTACAGTACAATAATAATTAATAATAATAAATTTGATTCAATAAAGTGATATTCCTACGCATCGTTTTAAAGGGTTATATCTATGAGTCTTCCTTTGATACGTACAGAAAGTGTGTAAATTTTTTTCATTGCATTAGAGTGACAAACAGGATCGCAGTCCACCTGACGGTAACTACCACTGACAAATAGACATCTGCAGCCAACTCCCGAAAATGATGTATGGAAATAAGATATTGTCACCCCTTCAACCCGAACACTGAGTGACAAGCGCGTTGTTAAGACCCGAGTAGAAAAGCGTTATTAAAATAGGGATATCGTAGGTACTAGTTCTTCCAATCAGTTATGTGCAAATACTAAACTACTTTTCAATGGCTTTAAACTACTGTATCAGTAATCTAGAGGGTTGGTCAGTCGTGCATTGAAACAAGCTTGTATATCCCTCCAACACATCTTGTAAATAGTACAGTGCCTTGAAATACACAAATCTAAAGACACTTTCATATTTATTTTAGATTATTTACATGTATTGTTATTATATATATGTTTAGTATATTATTCCGGACCGATACGACGCAGGGACCTTCAAGAAAAGAGGCAACCCTACTCCTTTTTAAACGGCCGGCAACGAATCTGCAATTCCCCTGGTGTTGCAGATTCGTTGCCGTAATCACTAATTTGGTGGCCGTAATCACTTACCATCAGGTGAGCCGTATGCTCGTTTAACCACTCCCATATTAACCAAGAAGAGGCGGTGTATGGACTACCAGATATCGTCCCGTGTGTGTCATAAGAGGCGACAGAGGGAGATTGAAACAAGGAACGGGCAGCAGCATCATATTAATAAATACTTAAAATTATAAAAAAAACTGCTGTAGCCAAACCTACCTGCCAAGCGCGGCAACTGTGGCAAAAACCCCCTATGAGACAATCTATGGCGGCAGCTTGTATTCAGCAGTAGCCTTTTATGGACTGTACTGGATGGATGATTTATGATTATTTATTTTATTAACGGAAAAATATTTTGAAGACATGTGAAGTTCGCCAACACGCATTGGGGCAGCGCGGCGGACAATTCCTTGCCCTAAAACCCTCTCAGAAATATATATATATATATATATATATATATATATATATATATATATATTTTCTACGAATATTATTTTGGAATGTCTCATAAATTTATTATTATTATTTCTCGAGGAATGCTCATATATATATATATATATATATATATATATATATATATATATATATATATATAT